CAATGTCATTTGGCAAAGTTTTGACAATCCAACAAACACACTTTTACCTGGTCAGCATTTATCAGCTGGACAAGAGCTGTTCTCGAGTGCCTTGGAAGCAGATGATTCTTTCGGGTTTTTCCGTCTCATAATGCAAGTTGATGGGTACCTTGTTCAGTATCCTGTCAATACACCATATACTGCCCCATATGCTTACTACGAATCCCACATCAGTGGAGTAGGGAATAATGTTTCACTGAATCTTGATGATGACGGCCTCCTCTACTTGCTCAATTCCAACAATAGTCTAAAAAATCTAACCAGAGGAGGCTGCCGTAGAGAAAGGACCATCATCTATATGATGAAAATTGATGCTGATGGTATTTTTCGAGTTTATTCACATTCTCTGAACCAACAAAACAGCTCCGTGATATGGTCATCAACAGATGATAGGTGTGATCCAAAAGGCCTTTGTGGGCTCAATAGTTTTTGCACCAATATAGATGTTCAAGCAAAATGTATGTGTCTTCCGGGATTTGATTTTGTAATGCCAGGAAATTGGAGCGCTGGCTGTGAAAGGAATTTCACCACAGAAACCTGTCAGTTAAAGGAGAACACTTCCAAATACTATGACATGAGAACAGTTGAAAACACAGTATGGGAAGATAGTACTTATGTTGTTTTGGGCGGAACGACCAAGGAAGATTGTGAACAAGCCTGTCTACAGGATTGTAACTGTGAGGCTGCTCTGTTCAAAGACAGAGAATGTAGAAAGCAAAAGCTGCCTCTGAGGTATGGAAGGAGAGACTTGGGTAATTCTAATCTAACATTGGTCAAGGTGGGCATTAATTTCATACACAACGAAAGGGTACCTAATCAGACGGTTGAAGAAACAAAAGGCAAAAAGCTAAGGATAGACATCCTAATTGCCAGCATTACATTGGCTGTCTTTGCTTTGTTTTTTGCTTTGTTGATGTTAGGCATCTCTGGATTTCTCATTCACAGAATTCATGTCTGGACTTGCAGAAAAATCCAGGAGAGTAGAAGTGTTCAGTTATATGAGGATGTTGCTCCACGAGCATTTTCCTATGCAGAACTAGAGCAGGCAACCAGTGGCTTCAAAGAAGCGTTAGGGAGGGGAGCATTTGGAACAGTATTTAAAGGGATATTGGCAGAAGGCCAGAAAGTGATAGCTGTTAAGAGGCTAGACAAAGAATTGGTAGAAGGGGAAACAGAGTTCCAAACTGAAATAAAAATCATTGGAAAGACACATCACCGAAATCTAGTCCGCCTCCTTGGTTATTGCTTGGACGGATCAAGAAGGCTTCTGGTGTATGAGTACATGACCAATGGGTCACTCGCGGACATACTTTTCACACCAGAAAAACAGCCAACATGGGAGGAAAGGTGTGGCTTTGCTCGAGATATTGCAAGGGGACTCCTATATTTGCATGACGAGTGTGAAACACAAATCATCCATTGTGATATTAAGCCTCAGAACATACTCATGGATGATCAGTTCTGTGCAAAAATATCTGACTTTGGAATGGCCAAGCTCTTAAAGAAAGACCAAAACAAGAACCTACACAGGGATAAGAGGGACCAGAGGCTATGTTGCACCAGAATGGCACCGAAATCTGCCAGTCACTGTGAAAGCAGACGTTTACAGTTTTGGGGTTGTCCTATTGGAATTGATTTGCAGGCGGAAGTTTGTTGATATGAGCCTTGATGAAAATGAGGCAATTCTTGAATACTGGGTTTACAATTGCTTTGATGCAGGAGAGCTAGATAAACTAGTCAGGGACGAGGAGGTTGATAGAAGACAATTCGAGAGAATGGTGAAAATAAGCATTTGGTGCATTCAAGAGGAACCATCACTTCGCCCTTCAATGAAGAAAGTTCTACTGATGCTGGAAGGAACAGTAGAAATTCCAGTGCCTCCTAGTCCTTCTTCTTTTCTAAGTGCCATATAGTTTTAAACTTCTTCACTTTTTGTTTCAAGTATCCCAACTTTCCCATAGTGAGCAGAGTACTTTATTATAATTGTATCAATTTTCTACATCATTCTCCACCTCTTCTAACCACCAGTTATCTTATGCTGTGGTGTATCTCAAGGCTTATGTTTCCATTTTGAGATTTGTCCATTTCGACACTTCCCTTGAAATTTACTTGTAGTACAATGAAACTATATTTTGTGCTAAGTGACTTGCAACCGTCGTTGTAGTATTTGAATTGTAATTACTAATTACAATTTTCTCCATAGTGAAAGCGAATCTGCAACAACCACAACTCGTGTAGCCGATGGTAAGTCCTCACAAAGCAGATGAACTTCCTTTGCCCATAGTCTAGATATCCTCTAGATATGCAGAGAGTTTTTCTCCTCTGGAGCTTCTCTATTTAACAAAAAAATTCTGTTGAAAAATATTTAGTTAACCGATTAAAATACGATCCGTACGTCCATCTTTTAATAAAAGAAACATATTATAAAATAAAAAGACTGTGTAGAAAACTCTTTACTAAATTAAGTATTATTTTTCTAAGCGATTCAATTAAAATATATATGAAAATGAGTTTTTAGTAGCGACGTAGTTGACACTTTAATTCCACATTAGCTCCTGTCAATATAAGTATACCAAGTGTAAAATTTTAAAAACATCATTGCTTGACTAAAGACTTGTACCATATTCTCTAAATTGACAGGCCTCAATAATTACAAAGTCTCACGCGTCTTTTACTTAACTAGTTTCTGGACACGTGTGTCTCATGCAATATGTTATAAATTCGTTAGGACAATTAAAATTTAATGAAAATATGCGTGTAATGAGTACTACAATGCAACAATCTCAAATAAATGTTATGATAATAATTTATAGAAAATTAAATTAAAGAAGACTAATAGAGAAATATAAAAAAAAATAAACATAGAAGAAAAAAAAAATGCACACACATCCTTCTTAAGACTTTAATCATAACATTATATAAATGAAAAAAGAAATACAAAATCGGTACATAATTTTCCAAGTTTTTGTCGACACCTTCTCTTATATCTAATCAAAATTCAAAAGTCTTCTCCATCGAGTCAAACTAAAGCATGAAAGAAATAGAAAAATCACTTTATTTTCATAAAGTGATATATAATCAGACTAAGGTATATATCATATACTTTAGATGTTGATGACTTCACTACTTTAACTATAAAATGAAAAGGATAATTTTGGATGTGAGTTTTATGAAACAAAAAAGATGAATTTATATAGATAAAATAGAGAAATACCAAAAGACATCTTAAAGTTTTAAATGAAATGATATTTGAAGGTTTCAAAGGGCCAAAATAGATAAAAGAGAACAACTTTAAGAATATTAAATATATGCAATGAACCTCCATTAAAATCTCGAAGAATAAACAATCCTCTTTTGAACACATGAACTCTCCATTTACTCAATATAATAATTTATTATTACTAATATTTAAACATGTAATTAACTAAATATTTATAATATTTTAATCTAGTGTAGGGCAAAATAATATTTCAACTTTCTAACTTTTTTTGTTCCCACTTTTAGTAATACTAGTTCTCGACACGTGCTTTGCACGCGTATATTACACATTTAATTTATTATTTAAGTTATTAAACAAAGGTAAATCATTAAAATTTAATCGGGTACATATTCAAAATGTTTAAATGGATTTATAAGACAAATATTTGAAGTATTTAAACTTTTTATTAGTTTATTAAGAATAGAATATTTTTAAAAATATCTATAGAATTTTAAACGATGTAACACATAATTATATTGAAAATTTCTCAAAGTGGTAATAATGAGGTGACTTATTTAGTATATAAATCTTTATATGTTGATGTATATTGTATCCTACTATTTAAATTACTTTTATCATGATTAAAACTAGAGATAAGGGTCTGAAAAATACCCAACTTTGGTCGAATTTGCTGTTGTGATACTTAACTTTCATGAGGATCTATTACCTCCCTAGACTATTTAATAGTGTATTTTTTACCCCCTGAACTATTTAATAGTGTATTTTAAAGGTATATATGTGCCCACATGGACACATTACTATTTATAATTTTGCATTATTTTTTATGTCCACGTGGAGAAATATATATGTTTAAAATACGGTATTAAATAGTCTAGGGAGGTAATAGGTCCTCATGAAAGTTTAGTATCGCAACAACAAATTTGACCAAAGTTGGGGTATTTTTTAGACCCTTCTCCCTTAAAACTATTGTCGCCAATATGACATAAGGGTCAACAATGCATTTTAAAATATATCTTGATTGCACATAACCCATCATATATGCATACAATGCCAACAATAACATTTGCAAAAAACAAAATGATAAATCCTTCTTACAAATACTTATCATATCCTAATAATCGCGATTGAACATGAAAAAGCTCTATTCAATTTATGTGTCAAACTGTTAATCCAAAGACAATATAATTTATACATTCTTATTATAAAGCTTTAGATCTTATTAAAATGAGAATTTAGAATCAAAACATAAGGACAAAGACAAGGGAATGAATGTAGTCACGATTGTAATAGGGTGTACACTAATTTATCCGAAGAGTAAAGTTGTATGGACTAACAAATGTTCTTAGTATACTCCTATTAAAATCTATAGTGTATATAAAACTTTTCGAATGATGTTCACCTTTTTCCTCATTGTATATGAAACTTCAGATGTTGTCCAAAAGAAAATTACATTATAATTAAAGTGTGAATTACAATAAATAGCAAAAGAAAATTGATATAGTTATTGTATTACACAAATCAAAAAAAGTTATTTAGATGATGGTATCGACAAAACTCTCAAAGCAGATAGCGTCCTATTACAATTTACAATATGTAAGACGAAAAAAAATAACTCTTCCCTAAATAAAGAA